TCCAGGTTTGATAGCTAAGCAAAGTAATGTGGTTCCAACATATAAAACAGTAGTAACTTTAGATACAGAACACAAACAGCAGACATAGCAAATAGCAACAGACAATGTAAGGAACAGCTTTCCTACCTACACAAGCACTTTACCAATTGGGTTTGACCAGGCCAAATATAAAGTCTTCTGCTAACTCAATTAAACATTTAATTGCTTGTGGGATGACACAGTGCAGAGACATGGATGAATAAATAAAGTTGGTATGGTATGTTATTTTTCACCAGTCTGTCTTTGTTAATGCTCTCCATACTTGGTAAGTAAGCAGTGACTGTGTTTCTGACATCCAAATGCGACTTGGATGATGTAATAATTTACAGTCTCATTACTAGTCTCATTACTGCGACAGACTGGCGACCTGTCCAGGGTGATCCTGCCTCTCGCCCGGAACGTTAGCTGGAGATAGGCACCAGCACCTCTCCTGACCCCACTAAGGGACAAGGGTGTAAAGAAAATGGATGGCTGGATGGATTACCAGTCCATTTTTCTCTTGGCTTTATGCAGTCACCTCCCTATTCCAAAATGTGTAAGGACACAACACTCCTTATTGGACAAAACATTCCCCCTATCAGAGTGTTTGTTCTTTCGATTATCATCCTCAGTGAGTCTGTGATGTTTAGGTTGAGCAGAGACCTTGCAGACATCTGCTGCATTATGATGTGTGTGCAAAAACATTTCTGCTCATGCAAACATGAGCACAGTGTTTATGTGTGTGTCTGTCTGTTGGCCTTATGTCACGTCAGGACAGCCAAGTCAGATTGTGCGTAGGCTGTGGTGTTGAGTCTGTGTCACACAGTGTTCCCATCTCGGCACATTAGAGCCAAACCTCTGAATATGCAGCAAACAGAGCCACATCAAAGAGAATGAAGGCTCACAGGGCGCATATAAAAACACCTTCTCAACAACACCAGCTCTGTGTCATTTTCCAGCACTAACCATAAATTGGATGCTGTGGTTCAGGTTTAGTTCATATTATTATTATTTTTTTAAATGATAGTTTCAATAGTATTTCACAACAGTGGTAATTTGCATGTATTTATGTTGCTTCTATATCCATGTATGTAAAGTGCCTTACAAAAGTATTTATACCTGTAGAAGCATTTCACATTTTGTCATGTTACAGCCACAACTCAACGCATTTTAGATGAACACAAAGTAGAGCATAATTATGAAGAGAAAGATAGAAACACAAAAATATGAAAAAGATGTCATGTGTACATGCAGCTTCCTGCATTCAGCCCCCTTGAGTCAAGAATTTGTCGAACCACCTTTCCCTGCAATTAAAGCATTAAATCTATTAACTATCAGTTCTTTGGTGGTATGTATCTACAAGCTTTGCACATTCTGAGAGTGAAACTACTCATTCTTCTTTGTAAAATACCTCAACCACTCTTGAACCTCTGGTCCAGTTTCACATCATTTTGACAAACAAGGTTTTAAAAATAAAATATGACTCAGATATTCCAGAACTGTAATACTGTATTTTTTTCATGAAAGTGTTGCAAGAAGTGTAATATAAAGTGTCATAAAGTCTGTTTTCTTGTTATCCCTTATAGTAATTGCTGGTTGATTGAAAATGAACAAAATATATTCCATTCTTGAATTAGAAAGGACTGCAACCTAACTTTCAGTAATAATTTTTAAATTGAAGTCGCTCAAATTTTCCAAAACCATCTGGACATCCAAAGAACTTGATGTTTTAGTTCTGATCAACTAATCAGAATAATAATTTGGGAAATGTTTAGCCACATCGCTTAAGCCAGGCAACAAAAAAACTGATTAGATTTTTTTTTATGCCACATTGTTTAAGGTCAAGAATAATGAATTTCCTGCTGAATCTATTTTCCGTTCAAGGTCCCCAAACAAGCAGTTGTGCTAATAAAAACACTGAATTTAACACATTCGTCACTATTTAAAGTTAATGTATGATTGTAAATGTAATTTAAAATACAAGTATTACAATATAATCACTGATATGAGTAATAATTTTACATGCATTAAGAGATTCAAACAATTTATTGCACATAGGCCTTCAGGCTCATGTTAATAGTTGTTCATAAACTATTAACATAAATAACTATTAAACAGATAAACAGTTTTTTGTAATCTAAAGGCTTTAAGATATTTCCAAGAGTCAATTATGTGAAAGGTCAGATGTTGACGTATTAGTGGAAGGACACAACACAGAAAAAAATATATTCATGCTTTGCTTTTAATCACTTGATAAAAAAGTATTTCAGATTTATTTTAAACACAATATACAATATCATACCATACATTGTGTGAAACATTTATCAACCCACCAACAACTGGTGGACTTCAACAGATGGACAATAAAAAATAAAAGAACCCATCTCTCATGCAGATAGTGCTAAATCTGGCTAACCATTTGGACACAACTAGGACCAAAAAAGCTTGAACATAGATAACATTAATACTGACAAATTTGTCTGTCAAAACCGCTAACACGTTTGGTCAGAAGAGTTCACACATTAGCACAGTCAGTTACATAAGATCAGGATTTGTTGTCAACTCAGAACAATCAGTGCTGGGCACATTGTAGCATGCTACTGATGATGTCCTCTACTTTAGGTGAAGTGCATTGAGTGGAGAAAGAAACGATCACTTTGTGTTTGTCAGTCAAACATCTGCCTGGTTTATTTAAGCTGTCAAACCTGACAAAATTAAGCTATCTGTGTACTCTGGAACTTAGCAATACCTATGCTTCAGTATTCTTTAGCTAACTTGTATGTATCCTATCTCCAAGCCTATAAAGTTTAAAATGTCCTCCATGTGGCCTTTTGGTTATCAAATTGCTGATGTCAAATAAAAGCCTTGCAACCCAAGATAATTAACTAGAAACTGGCAAAATAAAATATAGGAATCTCTGTTGAATTTATTATATTTATTAAATTCAAGAACATTTTTGGTTTATGTTTGTGCATCATTAACAATAAAATCTTTTTGAAATTACGTAAAACAAATGTAGCTTTTATGTAACAAAAAATGTAGTTACAAGGGTTTTATATGACAACAACAAGCCTCTTTAGCTGCTGCTCTGCTGGGCACTCGAAACTTTGTGCGAATATATTCTTAGATATATTTATATAGAGATATATTTATATAAAAACAATATACATTTATATAAAAAAAGACTCCACTCCAGAGTCTTCTACACATTAGACACCACCACTTCCAGGTAATGCAAGTGCATATAAATTAAAATAGATTTTACACTAAACCAGTATTTCTTATTTACAAGCTTAAAGTAGAGAATAAATACACACTGTTATAAACAGCAAAAAGGACCAACTTGAGCTCATAGCGACAAACAGCAAATTTATGGAGTGACTTGGGGATGGTAAGCCTGATCCAAACACACACAGACAACACACTCCCATATAAAACATACATACCACACACAAATGATTGCCACTTAAGCATGCTTTTGGGAAATTAAACTAAGTACCTTTGAGTATCAGTAAACCTATATCAAAGTTATGTAAGGATATTAATGCAGCCAGGACACCCATTATGATCAGATGTAGGAAGCTGTGCAAACCATTTTGAAGCTTTCAGGGTGATTTCTAGTTTCTTTGCAGTTCCAAAGCTTTGCTGCGTTGCGTGGAATTCAACTACCCTGCCGGGAAGCCAGCTGACGTCAATGAGTAGATTTTTATCACCAGGAAGGAATACTTGCCCTGACTTTTCAGGGTCATCGTGCCAGAGCCCGGAGGGTCTGTAAGCCATGTGAATTCTGTCCATCAGCGTGTTTTAGACAGGCTACTGTAATTGCAGCTTTAATCATCTGGTCTGGTCCTGATTGCAGGAAACGCAGGGGAGCGTTACATCAGACAGATCTGGGTTTTGAACCTCTTTCGGCTAACAGGATTATTAGGACTGGAGCATACCTGGGAGCTAAAAATAGACTCACCACTGTTGTGCATTTTGTCCTTGGTCAACTTATTTTCCTATTTTACCATTGATCCAAGCAGCTGGATGTCAGGAGACATTTGTTTCGTCATTGTTTGCATATCTGCAGTGCTTTTATCAACTCTTAAAATGCCATAAAAGATCAAACTAGACCAAAATATTTTCCTAAACTATATAGAAATTGAAAGAATACCTAAAAATTTGAAGCTATAGGAAGAAAGAAACAGTAGGAAAGCTCAATGGTTTGCAGCTCACCAAAAACAAAAGGTGCAGTATGGAAAGAGATGTGTTGATGTGTAATATTGACATTCACTGACTGATACAAAAAGCAACTTATCAAATTTGTAACATGAACCATATCTGAACATATGTCTAGACTGTCTGTGCTCCGATGGAAATCATATTGAGTGATTCTGGTATACATTTTCCCATTAACTGTAGATGAGTCTAAGAACTGTTTGTCAACATTTGCTTGGATTTCTCTATTGCCCAGTACGTGGAAGACTTTGCTCTTTACCATACAAAAACTGTTTTTTCTCTTTTTTTTGTCATAAAGGAAATAAAAGCATTTCACAAACACTAGTGTGTTCAATAAATAAAAAAACTATTATAAAGACAGTTGTAAAAAAGGCACACAAAAGTCCTTTGACAAATGGTACAGAAATAAGTAAACACTTTCTCTTGCTATACAAATGTGTCTCCATCAGTAGATCTTACTCTATGCTACTTCAAGATCTTATATCTGTAGAAAAAAAAACAACATCTTAAGGTACAAAACTTCTCTCAGTAGTGTCATTGTCCATATAATGCCAGTCCAGAAAAGAAAATGAGCCAATTTCTAAACTGGCTGAAATCCTTCAAGTTCCTTTCTTGTCCATTGAGACTGAAATGTTCACAGCAAATGATTCCTGAGAACTCTGAAGCCACCTCTGTGAAACTGTCCATCTGTGTCTGGCTTCAAACACCCAAGTGCAAGTTGCCCCTGTGTGGGCCTAAACTAAGCCCTTGCTTCTGTGGGCTTATTAAAAAGCACAGCTGCAAGAGGGTATTCCCCCTCTTTTCAAAAAACTTTCAAACCACCATGAGAGCCTGTTGCTGGAAGCCCTATGTGTCTGTGGGTGAGGCTTCATGCGTCACAATCTCTATTGCCGTCATTGGCTCAATCATGCCATCTTCTTCCTCTGCCTGACTGTCCAAATAGTCTGGAGGAGGCGAGCGCGAATTTGCGAGACTATCCTCCACCTCTATTTCTTCCTCTTCTCCTTCCTCATCCTCCCCATCACAGTCTTTTTCCATCCCGTCCATGTCTTCCTCCTCCAATGTCAAGTCAAATTGAAATTTCTCCCCTCCTCCTTGTCCTCCTGTGCCTCCACTGTGTCCATGTGTGCCCTGGTCGTAAAAGGGCGGTGAGGGACTTTGGGGAATCATGCTCTGGTACCAGTTTCTGTTGTCCTCTAAGGTGTCCAGAATGTCCTGAGCGTCAGGGTGAACCAAATCGGCCCAGGTCTCCCACAGGGGGTGCACGATGTAGTCAATAAAACCCACCTAACAGGAAAAAAAATTGTGTTAGAGGGTTTTTTTTTCTCTAGATTCACAATATGTTTGTAGTTGTATGATTTTCTATTTTTGAAAGCATACCTGGCTCTTCTCCACGGAGGCTGTGTGCTTATCACACATGGGGCTGATCTCCATCCCTCTCTCCCTCTCTCTGTCTCCCTGGTGGAAGAACTCCTCCATTATCCGGTCAGTCCACTGACGGTAGAGCTCCAACGACTTTGTGGGGTTGCTCAGATCGGCACAGTGTACCATGTTTCGCAGCACCTAGAAATAAACACATAAAATGTTCGGACGTAAGTCATAGTTGGGAGACCTTACAAGTTGTCTATATGATCTAGAGCTATGCATGTCTTTTAATTTTTTTATTTTGTTATTTTGAATGTACCTGTATCCTGTCCGTGTAATTGTCTAGCAGCAGCACTCCAGAGCTGGTCACTTTCTTGGTTTCAACCATAGTCTTCAGATCAGCCAACAGACTCATGTGTTTGGACATGTCAGTAGCCAAAACCTGCAAAACACAAGATAAAGATGGTGAGCTTGGCAATAACGATGAAATGGACCAATCAGCTTTGTCACCTCATACATGCCTAGATCAACAGTCAAGTAAAAATATCTTACCATGTCAATGACCATTTTGCGGAGGGACTGTCTCTGCTTCTTTGTGAGGTTCTGGAAGATGTCACAGTTGTCTTCCTGCAGCAGCTTGAAGCCCACAGCCAAATGATGGTTCTCCAGCACAGACTCATCGTTGTACATCAGGGCCAGCTCAGAGTCTGCATATTCAATACAAAAATTGGTTGTTTATTGAGTAAACTTTGCTTCAATCTATCTATTATCAAGTCAGAGAAACCATAATGTTTGTGTATTATTTTGAACTTACTGGTATTGATTAGGAATTGGTTTGATACTCCAGGATGATCGACATCATGAATTGCTGCAGCAAAGATGGCCGCTAGGATCTCAAGATCTGTGAAGACCGCCTAGTCCAGAGAGGAAAACAGAATTTAAGTATTTCTTAAAGTAAGTTGGCTAAGAGGCAGACAGCAGACATTCAACTATAAGTTTGCTATGTGTTGCCTCATCCGTGCTGAGTGTGCTATATGCATGGCAGGGAGCACAGTGGACTTAATCATTTTGCAAAACCAGGTCATTCAGACCTGACTCCATTACACCAACTTCTACAAGCACAGGAGAGCTGTCTAAAATGCATGCATGAAAAACTGAAAATGAGGCCAATTTCAAGAAGAATACATAACTTTTACAGAAAGACTTACATCCAGGGCGGGAGTAGAGAGCAGGATGTGCGTTGACTGGGCTACGTCAGCAGCGTGCAAACTGTTATGGTAAGCCACATCTGCATGATAATGATCCTCTAGTGTCATCATGTAGGCCACAAACGTATCAGCTGGAATCTTGAATGTCTTTAGCAGATCTCGCTCCTGCAAAAGTAGCAAATTGTGGATTAAATAAAGCAACATTAACAATAAGATAGATTTATTCTTCATTGTATGGTGCCAATAAAGGAAGAGTCCTTACTTGGAATATGGCGTACATGATGCAGGTCAGAGGTCGGCTGTTGGAGTATTCTGAAACAGTGAAGATGTTTAGACCCCATTTGTTCAGGTCCTCCAGCTCCTTGGACAGCTGCTCCTCTTTGTCGGTCTTGACGCCAAAACGCGATATGCTGCTGTTGGAGAGCGACGATCCGTGGGAAACCTTCTTAACCCCGCTGATCTGCGTCATCAGCTGCTGTTTCTGCTGTTTCTTCTTCTCTCGCGTTTTGGATGTCGGCGAAGGGATCTCCACCTCATTCTGTTTATCTGTGTGAGGAAACAGAAAAAAGGACGACTTGTGTTATTTGGAGACTCGTTTTGCAGTGTGAGGTTCCAGATGGCCTGCATAGGCTCCTCAGCAAAAAATAAAAAATAAAAAATTCCAGCCGACACCTGCAGCTTGTTCATTCATCAGGTTCCTTGACTCTTTCTTCATTCATGCTCCTCTTTGTCCACCTGCAGTTTGTCTGACCTTACAGTATTTAACCATCCAACCCAGGACTCAGCATAGCTAAAGCAGCACATAACGCATTGTAAAACAACCATGTCAACATTCTTCCTGTACCATTCCTTGTTTATGTTATTCAGCTGCAGTAGATCTAGAGATGCACAAGTCAGGTTTTCCCTTTTTCCTTTTGACGTTCTTTGATAAAGGTATGAACTGAAGATAGAACCACAAATCCTTAAACTCTGTCTGATTTTTACTTAGCTTAAAACAAAGTGCATCAAAGTAAATGCCATAAGCTGATGTTTCTAATGACATTTTCTGTAGTTGTTTTAATTGACATGATTAACAGAAAAAGAAACTGGCACATCTCTATTTTGGTTCCTAATAAAATGAACAAATGGTACAAATAATAACTATTAAAGGCACCGAAGTGTTTGATTGTGTTTTTTTGTTTCCAAAAAAATGTTTCCAAACACTATTTTCCAAACACTGAAAATATCCAGTACATGGTTTTTGAGCTGTGTTCACTGCAGTCACCGAGGAATTGATAGAAATCCTGCTAGGACCTGCCATCGGCATTCGTTTAAGCCGCGGACTCATCTTTCAAGCCTCGACTCAGCTCATTGCTGGCCTATCGGCCTTCCCCTGTGGAGGATTATTCAATTACCAGCTGTAATTTAAATAAGCACTCTCCCTCTCATCCACTGCTGTCTCGGACTTTCTCTGCGTCTTTCCCTTTCTCACAGTTCTTCTCTGGTAATTTAGAATCGCGATTAAATGCTCTCTGACGTGCTGTGTGGGAAAATGAAGAGAAGGGCAATATCATACTGTAATTTATTGCAACTCGCGATAATCATCGCTGATGCATGACCCATATAAGCATTAGGTATAAAGTAGATTTTATTCATGCCTGTTATTAATTTCTGCTTCATATTGCTTTGCAGTTCAGTTCAATTAAATGTCAAAATCTGGTTCAAAATGTGTCCACAAAGGATGCACTTTCAGTCTAGCTTCTCTATTTTTCCCATGATATAGGAACAAAATACAGTGTGGATTCTGTGAAAGAGGTAGTGAGCATGTGTTTTATTAATATTCAAAAAAGTTCATAAAAGTCCAAGCAGTTGATCGATGTGTTTTAAGACTGAAAGTGATGTGTGGTTTGTAAGTTTTGATGGATTCAATAAAAGGTTTAAGTTATTTTTAATTCTATGAGGCAAAAATTAAATTCCTTTTCCGTTGAGAGCAGAGGTTAAACAGTTGTTTCCTTTTTTCCTAATCTAGACGAGTTCTGCTGCTGGCCTGTCACAGGGAATTAGCCTGAGTGGGCAGCAGGATACGGGGGGCAAAAAAGGGCACACGTGAATACTGTGCATGTTGCCAGCCAGAAGTCTTCCATGGATTTGTGCAAGAAATGAATGAAGTTGTTAACTGATCCAGAGAATCGCGCTTAGCTTCACATCACTGTTTTTATAAACAAAGGAAGCAGATGGGCAGCATTAAACTGAAAGGATTTACGGTGGCTCTTTAAAGGAATTATGGAGCGCAAATCACACTGGATAAAAATCAAATTTCCCTGTTTCCACATCTGTGCTTTTAAAAAAATTACAGAAAGCAAACATCGGCGCACTGCTGACGTGACGTTAGTGTTCATGGATGGACAGATTAAAAGGTCCTGCTGGTCAGCTGAGGACACATCAGGCCAGCTGCACCACTTTAGTCATTAATGTGGGCACATCCCTTCTATTTTTCTACCTTCTGCCATGTACATCGGTCAAAGCGGTCACCTTCTCCCGTGTCAGGTCAGCGGGGGGGTGGGTAAAGAGACAACAAGGTGTCCCCAGTGACAGAGAAGCATTAAGATCTGAATGAGTCACCCAATCTGCTGAGCTTATCTCACTGCTAGCGAAGGGGGTTCCTCTGTAGATCTTTTTTCTGTCTGCTCTCAGCTCCCTCCCTCACTTGTTTGTCTGGAATCCTCCATTTTCCTCACATATTACAGCACCTTTAAATCATTTTCTTAGTCTTGAACGTTATATCTCACTCTAGTTGTTATAATGTTTCATATATGCAGAATAAACTATTATGGAATGTTTTCTTTTGCATTTGGTTGATTCTGCTGCAGTGTCAAAAACACTAAAATTTGCAATTTATGCAGCAATAAACTCATATTTTTCTCCCAGTTTACCTCTTTTAGATACTAATGAACCAGTATTAAGCTTCTTTTTGCCCAAATACCTTAAGAAATATACACATTCATTTTAACTAGTTCTCTAAATATTGGAGGAAAGGTTGATGGCGCAGTATTTTTTACTGGTACGCCCCCACAGTGAAGCCAGTCAGAACAACTTGCACAGCTCATTATGTAGGAAACAAAATGAAGCCTCCACAAATGTTCAAATGAAAATGTGTTCAAACGAACCACTTAATACTTGCAGATTTGTCACATTTAATTGTAATTACACAACTCACAATAAATGCCTTTAACAAAAACTATTAGTGCGACTTTTGGATACAGATTATTCTTGTGATTTTTACTTTATTTTTTACCTAGGAAGGTGTTGGAGATGAATTCGGAAACCTGATTCCCAGACCGACTCATCTCGGATAGGTGCGTCAGCTCCCGATTCAACATTCTCTTAAACTGCAGGAGAAAAGGGGAGGGGAGGGGAGAGGGCAAGAGAGAGGAAAATGTCGTCACTTTCCAAATTGGGGGAAACCTGGCAAAAAATTATATTACAAGATATCTTGAAAACCCAACAGCCCCACGTTTAATTTAATCAGGTCAAGAATGCCATTCAGTTACAGCCTACAATCAGTGGGGAACACTGTGTATTTTCCCCTCCATTTACACAGGAATTAATTATGATACAACCATTATTTGAGTAACCAGCAGGGGACCAGAAGCTTTTAATACCCCTTTTAAAGCCTCCACAGGAACCAATTTCAAGTTTTATTAAACACATTCACAGTTTCAGGAATCTATCCGGCCAGTCGACTGCGTCAGTGTGGAGGAATTTTAATGCAGGCAAGAGGAAATTTTGCACAGTTGTCCCTGATGTCCTTTTTCACATTTTCTCCATACATTTGGAACCATTAGAGACCGAGAAAATATGTGCAGCTGATGGTACATGGAGACCCAGGCACTGTAGCAGCAGATGTTTATGACAGGTTGATGCATGCGTGTGCACACCCACATACAGACAAACAGAGATACAGCTCTGCAGAGGGCTCAAGATGGAGCCCGAGCCTCAAAACACCATTCTGTCTGAGCCCCATCTACCCAAAAAGGTGGAAATGTTATCAGATCTGACACTAAACATTAAAAATTAAACTCCACAAATGCGCCTGATGAGAACATTTTTTTCAGTAAGAGCAAATAACTAATATGATAACTAAGGAGCAGAGAGAGCTAGGACAATATGAGTGCGGTATCCCCAGCGTGATACGTAGTTAAACACCACACACCTTGATGTAACCCCAAGACACCGACAGCAGGTAGTTGGCTTCAGGCATTTTGGACCCCGTTGTTTGGTTCCTACACAAAGCCAGAACTGTAATCCAATGTGGGGGAAAAAATTTACTGAAGTCAAGCAGGATTTTTTTTTGGCACCAAAAAAACCAATCCTCTATCTTCTCCTCTTCTCGTCAGCAAAGAGAGCAGCTTTATGACGGCTCGCTCTCCCTCTCAGCAGAAAAGGGCCAGTTCCAAGTCTCCATGCTTGCAGATGGAGGAAATAGATTGATAAGACGTTTGGAAAATCAGCAGGAAGATCCAGCTGTACGGGGCTGGAGCGGCAGCAGTAGCAGCTGGAGCCGTGAGCTGGGGACTCTCGGCGCACTGATGAATAATGGAGAGGAAGCAGGGAAGGGAGGAGGGGAAAAACACAGCGATGGAGACAGGAGGAGGAGGGAGAGAGGCAGCGATGTTCATCTGACTGGAGGGGGGGTTCCTCCGCTGGATTTGTCTCGCCTCGCTGCTCTCCCTTTAGCTCTTTCTCCCCCTCCTTTCCCAGCTTCTCTATCTTTGTGTTTTTTTTTCTCCCCTTTTCCATCTCTTTTTTTCCCCTCTCACTATCTGCCAGCCATAGCAACACTCTTTTCATAGTGTATGATTTGACAGAAATAGGAAGAGGGGGAGCCCTAATTACAGCTTATATGAAGTTTTGAAGCAGATATGAGTTCCACGTTCCCCCCCCCCAAAAAAAAAAAAATTTAAACCCTTTTTAATTTTTACCCCTTTTAATTCCCTCTTTAAAGCCACTTACATCAAGTCATCCAGTGAAGGGGATTGTAATTAGGAAGTTAAAACAAACCCTCCTCCTTTACAGTGAAACAATGAGCCACGTTTTGAGGAATGTGAGCCTGTGTGAACTGTATTTTTAATCGCCATTATCTCCACTATCGCCCGCTCCTTCAACTCCCCTCTTCTCGAGTCCTCTGTTGTCTCCTGACAACCAAGTGTGGCGGCCATTGTATAGACCTCATAAGCCTGTTCATTATCTGCATCCCATAATAATATTGGATGCCAACAGGGTGTCTGTGGACGGCTATTTTTAACAAGCGGAGTGGGAAGGCTGGTCGGAGAAGGTGAGAAAATAAAAAAAAGAAGAAAAAGAGCAGAGAGATGGCAGATAATTGCATCCGTCCCCAGTTTGGGGGACATCAGCCCACGGCTTCTGTGTTTGGCTGTGAGAGGAGTGTGTGTGTGTGTGTGGGCTCATTATCAGAACACCCCAACGGCATAGAAACAGCATAAGAGAACAAGTACATCAGTGCTATTTTTTTTACTCATTTACCGGAAAAAATGAGGGGGAGAAATGCAGGAGAGGCTTTCCCTTTTTCCTCATGTGGTGAAGCTGCTGAGCTGTCATGAGGACAAACCACACACATCGCATCCAGTGTGCCCCGTTCCCTCCCTCCGCCTCATCAATCCCTGGCTCTTTACCACTTATGTGTCAATTTTCCGGCAGTGATCAATCTCTCTGCCCGCCTTCCTGAGAGAATCAATGAGCTGTCCTTGGTGCAGGTGCTGCAATGTACAAGGCTGGGGCCACCTGACTGGAATCCACTCTTACATCAGAACCAGCGCTCCATTTCAAGGTGTGAATTTGCTTTTTTGTCAATTTCTGTCAAGACTGTTATTTGTGGAGCCCCAGAGAGGAAGGCTGTGGCGGTTTGCCAAAGAGAAAACATGGCGTTTGTACGTCAGAACCAATCAATTGGAAACTGTAAACAGAGATCCGTAGGAGCCTTTAGGTCCAACGTTGTTTCTTCGAAATGGGGAGGGTGAGTGGGAGATCAAAGCTTTTCTGAGAGGATTCCAGATTATCCTCCCACTGAGGGAAAGGACCAGAAGAGAGGAGGTAGTTGCAAGGAAAAGAAGAAAAAAAAAAACAGGAGGCAGCCCTTTATATAATAGCTCACTACATAATGTATAAGAAAACCAGAAATAACAGCAGGGGGGGGTCTCTCCACAATGCATCAGAGAACTGGGCTTTGCTGGAGGCTGCAAACATGCATTAGTAGGCACAAATGCACAAAACCTACCAGAGTTGCTGTTATACACTTAAATATAGTTGATGCTTCCATGTAATGTGCAGATTTTACAGACGCACTGTCGAATTAATTAAGAATAGCATCAGAATGGTAATTTCTTTTAGTATTACTTAATCAGATTAAACTCATTATGTAGATAGATTAGACACAAAGTGAAATGCCAGCATATTAGTGGAAGGTTAAGTGGAAGAAAAAAGTAAGGATGTGGGGTTTTTTTTTACTCGTGGTGAAAATGAAACGCAGCTTTGACGGGACTGGAAGTTCTCTGGGTGCAATTTCCATCCTAGTTCAACAAGCCCTTTTATGACTGAGTTTAATATCCATGCATTTTAATCCCGTGTTCTTCCCTGGTTTTCGTCCCTGCCTACAGTGGCTGGGTTGATTCAGCAGAGAGCTGCCGTGACAGAGGCAGGGAAGGTGAATGAAGCCTGTGGCATTTTAATTTGACCAGCACGGGAGGGATGGGTAAAGGGGGACACATAACGCTGAGCTCCTACATTTAGATGTGATTTCATCGGACAGCTCGCTGTGCAGGGCAGCCAGGCAGACAGGTAGGCCTGAATGGAGTCGCTCCTGACACGAAGCTGAGAGGATCCACTCTGCTTGCACTATAACAGGATGTTAGGGAAGGCCTGATGTGAGATTCTGAACCTCTGGGCACTCTGCCACGTTCTCTGGCGTCTCGTAAGGACCTTACGAATGATATTAAGGGACATTTTGGCACTTTTTAAATTGCTAAATGGTCCAATCTGTCCTAAACCATCACAATATTTCCTGTTTTGTTTAGGTATTTATTCCACTATTTGGTGGAATTATTGATTACTTCTGACCTCATTACCATTTCAAATAATAATGAAAAAATAAACAATGAAATCTAGAATAAATTATGTATTCAGTCATTTTTTGTGCATTGTCTACTTGTATCCTTTCCACCAAGCTGAAGTTGTAGCCAACAGCCACTAGTGGGTGCCCTACACTACACTCATGCTGCAGAGAGACCTTCATTGAAAGTTTTGTAGAGCTTGCAAATAACTTAGTTAATAATCTTTGCATCAAATGCTGAAAGGTTTTTAGAACTGAAAACTTTAAGGTTTGTTTTCACTTCACCTGAAATAAATGTTTCCCAAGAATATCTACCATCATTTCCCCTAAACTGCATTTCCATGTTCTTGTTTGCCAAATTTTGCAAGGCTTTGAACTTATTTCCACTTTGCTTGGCTATATGACGCAAGCCGGTAAAACTGGCACCAAAGCCACTCAAAGTGACATAATTCTGTAAAGATCAGGGGAAGAGTATTGCGTATGTGTTGTGCGTAAATTCGCTGGAGGTGAATAAGAAATACTACCTCTCACTTCCTCTGACTCACAAAGCCATGCTATAGAGACTTAAAGACTCAGAGTGTATTCATGCATATTCTACCCCAGATTACGCAGAACAAAGCGTTAAAAAAAACAAGAGAGTTACAAAATTGGACACGTTTTCACAAGTTGCTGAAAACGGCTTTCAGGCTGGGTGCAAAAATTTCACTCAACCTGCAATGTCTCACATATTAAATGCAAAACTCAAGATGTTTCTCCAATGAATTAATTTTCAAAGAAATAAAGTATTGAACACATTGCAAAATTATCCACATTGATTCTTCCTTCTAGCCCAATATGACTCCTAGATGAGTTTTTTTTGCCAAAACTCAAACTCCCTCTCCGTTGGGTTCGTTAAAATGTTTGCATATGTAATTTTTAAACTGCTTGAGTTAAATATAATTAATTTTATTAAGTATTTTTCTTATTAATTTGAACCCTTCTGACAACACAAAACTACGCCAAACAACACGAACAAGCTCACAGTCTGTCTTCTACTCCATGTGTTGCTTTTTCATCAGACTGCTCAATTTATTTCAGTACTGCCACTTTACAGATCATCTGTGAAACAACAAATAAGACAAAGTCTAGTTTAAAAAGAAACCTCAACTTTGGTTTCTTTCAATTCCTTGCCAGTAAATACTAAGTTATTCCCATAAACAAAAAGCGCGACAGGAACGATTTCTGTCCATTCAGAATATTTTCACCAACACTTTAAGGATAAAT